AAATATATTTATAAACTAAAAGTCATCGTTAGCGGCAAATATGCAGAATTTCTATGAAATTGATTTCAAGTAGAGATTCATTTACATTTAATGAGAAAATACTGGAAAGGAAAGCATTATCCTTAAACCGCAAAAATGTAAGACAGTTTCTTTTGATACCAGCGAGCAAAGCAAAAGTAAAAAGTGATTTTTGATGAGAGTGAACTGTCGTATGCAAATAAAAAGTGTGAAAATTGAATTGATTTGATAGACAGAAGTGTGAAATAAATACGGTTGGTGAAGTGAAAAGAAAATGAAACACTGCAATAATACGATTTAAGTCGACAAATTTAGGCGTCAAGATGGATCGTTAAAAGTTTGGTGACAAATCAAAACTTCAACTTTAGCGGACAAAATAAATTTCTACAATATGTATAGGTAAGTAAGTTTGAACTACTCTTAAGAAGTATGTCAATAATATTCATTATAGTAGAGCATATAGGAATTTGTTTGTACGTACATTCTTAGAATGAAATGGACGATTGTTCCAGCCTCACTGTCTTTTTTCACTACTTTTTTTACATCTACTTATTTATCTCTTAAAGATTACAAAACTTTACAGAACATCAATGACATAACGTTCAGGATGTTATTCATAACAGCCAATTAGCTTTGATTTATGACTGGTATTTGGTAAGTCTTGACGAAAAAATCTAGAAAAAATTTCAAACGAGAATAGAAACGCGTACTGCTGATGATAAACCGATAGTGCAACAAGAAAAAACTCGGTGCAACCGAAGCTATAATACCCTTCACAAATACAAAGGTTCCTTACAAGAACTTGTGCTATAGTCATCCGATCTATACAATATCTCCGGGAACTGCATTACTGCCTTAGACAATCATCCATGCCAAATTTCTTGAAGATACCTCCTCAAATTAAACAATTTTCCATACAACCTTTTGATTCCGATTGTTCAGTTTGTATGGCAGCTATGTGCTATAGTGGCCCGATATCGCCCTTTCCGACGTTCGGCAGATCGATAGCTTAAAAACTGAAGGACTAGTTCGCGTATGTACAGACAGACGGACGGACAGACGGACATGGCTAAATCAGCTCAGCTCATCATGCTGATCATTTATATATAATATATATTGTATAGGGTCTTTGTCGTTTCCTTCAGGGTGTTACAAAATTCCTAGCAAACTTAATATACCCTGTTCAACGTATAAAAATGCTTCTAGGCTAAATCAACCAAAGTCATTCCAGTAATAGCACAGTGTAAACAACTACTTTTAAAACCCTATAGTTAATTTTAAAATTGTATGGTATAGCTCTAAATGACCAAAGAAGAACTTTCTATTAGTTATTTTAGCTTTCCACCATTCCATCGTTAGGGCATGGGTGAAAATTAAGAAAACTTTTTTAGTTTGGATTTAAACAAAATCCCAAATTCGAGTACTACATACATGGGTTAAAAAGTCTTTGGCCTGACCGATATATCGCTTCAAAAATCTGCAAATTGTGTTATCCTTGTCTAAGAATACTAACGTTAACCAGAATACTGACAAAGTTTTATGAAATATCCAACGATCAATTAAATCGTTCTCAAGTTATTGATCACAAATTGACGCTACTTCTCCTATTTTTGTTTACAATAGAAAAATCTGGATTTTTTGATAGAACAATATTTCCTGATGAGAAAAAACACTGTTGATGCAATGCAAAGGCTAACTATGTGTTATGGCAAATCTCCTCCTGAACTGAATTTCGAGACAATCGTACCAATTATTTTATTCGTAATTTATGTGCTCTGTTCAGGAAGGAACATGAAAAAACAGCGATTCGAAATTCGTGAAATTTAGTTGGGTGACCGACCGTAAAATAAAATTGAGTTATTCATTGACATCTCTAAGTAAGTAAAGTATCCGAAGGCAACCGTTGAATCTTGAGATAATCGCATACGTGTATCATATCTAGCAAACAACGACATAAGGGCTAAGTTCGGGTATAATGGAACATTACAAGTATATAATCTCGCAATTTGTAAGCATAGGAAATAAAATGTTGTATAAGAATTCAACATTCATTATTCGAAAAGACCGAATCGACTAAAATCAAATTTGATAACTTACAGAAAATTTAAATTTAATGATGAATGTTTATTACCATTCGAAAGAACATTCTGTGCCATTTATTTTTTTTATGAATATCTCTTTCGAATGTTGGCCGCGGCTACGCCTCAGATGGTTCATACGTTGAGTCCAATTTTCGATCGACTCGTTCGAGCATTTCGACTAGTAGCTGGGAAATGACACGCGTGATGTTTTGCTCCAAGGCCTGAATCGAAGCGGGATTGTACGCATAGACTTTAGACTTTACATATACCCACAGGAAAAATACTAATGGTGTGATATCACACGATCTTGGTGGCCAATCGACCGGCTCAAATCGCGAAATTATCTGCTCACCGAAGTGTTTTCTCAATAAACCCATCGGTTGATGCGATGTTTGAGAAGTGTCGCCGACTTGTTGAAACTAAATGTCGCCGAGATCACGATCTTCAGTTTCAGACATCAAATAATTAGTTATCATGGCGCGATAACGGACAGCTTAACACGACTTACGCGTAATCCGTCAAAAAAAGGATATTGAAAAAAGTATTTCTACTTGGATCAGCCGTTATTAAAATCTTCAAATGTGATATAAGTATGTAATATTAACTCAACCGAATGGGAATTCATTATACTAGGGATATAAGATTTATACCAAGGTTTACACCAAATCCTTACATATTCAGCGCTAAATCATTAATATATCTGTATAATTTTTAAGAAAACTTGTTCACTTAATTTCATTATAATATCAAAAAAAAAATTATTTTATGTATAAATGGAGATAGAGGATACAACATATTACTGACGGAAAAAAGGCTCTCTGAGTTTCATTAAGGTACCTCACATGCCATCACCAATATATGCGGCATAAAGTCAGTAGGATGTTCGAAGTTATGGTTGCTAAGTTTAGAAAATATGCATATTACACCTATTAGTGGGTGGGGCGACGCCCACTTTTTAAAATTTTTTAACTGCAGATGCCGATTAAATATACCAAATAAAAGTATTTTAATCTTATCGTGGAACTTAGTTACGGCAATTTCTTGGTTTTCGATTAATGGTTGGCGTGACAGCGGTCCGATTACGCCCATCTACAATACCAACCTTATTATGGTGCCAGAAAATATGTGTGCCAAGTTTCATAAAGATATCTCAATTTTTACTCAAGTTACAGCTTGCACAGATGGACGGTCGGGCGAACATACTGTCACCCGGATTTTAACTCGTTCCCTCATCCTGATTATATATCTAATTCGATTAGTTTTAGGTGATACAAACAACCGTTAGATGGACAAAAGTATTATATTTTTTAGCAAGATGTTGCAAGAGTATAAAAAGTTGTAAGGATTTTTATTAGTATGTATGGAAAATGGCCAAAATTGTACATAACTGCAATTGCAGTACTTAAGGAGTTGTTAAAGGAAAGACCTCAATTTACGTGGGCCTACATTAAGCAATAAATGATAATGTATGTATTATGTAACTTTTAATTTAGTTTAACCGAAAATAATCAAATGTTTGTAAACCAATATACTTGTCATCGCTGTTTGCTTCAAAACTAATCCAAACAGTCATTAGCGTTCCACTTTGCATATTTTTATTGAAGTTAAGTTTGGCTACTGCCATTACAATTTTACATTACAAATATTAGCATACAGGGTGCGGTTAGTGTTAGTACAAGTATATCAAGTTTAAAACTGTTAACTGACTAGAGAAGACGAGTCAATTAAAAGAAATTAAAAACTTAATACTGACCATTCCCTGAATTGGGCATTTATTTTGACAGACTTAAAGTATAGAATAAATAAAGTTCAAAACTATTTAATAAACATGTATGAGAGAATGTCGTATTGTCACAGCTTGAAAAATATTTCCAACAAAGAGCCCACATATTTATCTTGGGATACGTTGAAAAAGGTATTCGACTTGTTAGCAATGAAACTAAGAAGTGAGTTTTAAATTTTGAACACGAATTCTTATATTATTCGGTGCCATTAACGAGTACAATTATAGCATTTGGATAATGAAGTTTCCAAACAATTGTTCCTTCCAAACTGTATGACTAAAAAGAATCGATGAATAGTTTATGAATTTTTAAATCGATGGACAATGCAAACTAATATCTGCGGAATACGAATGATTGTCGAAACGTATATTATAAAAAACACCGCATTCACTGACAAACCGGATCTCCAATTTTGACCCATTCCAACTTTGTTTTTTAGGATTACAAGGCAGATAAACTGTAAGTGACCATTCGATTATTTATCACAGGAAATACTCCCAAAAGGATTCAGGATTTTTAAAAGTGATTTCAAAGATTTTGCGAAAAAGTTTCTCATAAAATTATTACATACGCTTACAAAAGATTACGCACCCTGTACATTAATGTAAACTTACGTATGTACATATGTATGTACATTGAGGATTAAATTCAAAATTTTATAATTTCCACGCAAGTATCCGCACTGAACAAATTTGCGGTTTTGCACTTTCCCGTACGTGAGTGAAATTAAAAATTTATTTAGGCATATTTTTTGTTACACCAATTATAGGCGATCGCCTCCGGCTAAAATCGAATGCTATCAAGAACACTTAAAAGCGGCTTACGGAAAAAAGTTTCGATACAAAAAATGTGACCAAAGCAAAATATAACTACAGTAAACATAAACAAAATCAAATAGAGGCACCTCCCCAGCATCCCCTCTCCTGTTCAAAGGAAACTCACTCATTAACATTTCACTCAATGGATGAGTGGTTCGTTCGCAGCGCGTGCAGTTTCATTCATAAAATGTGCATTTTCACGCCGACGCACTGCATTCATAGCTATTTGAGTGGAAAATTGAGAGATTTGTTGTGGACGTGGCGAATCGCTGGACATTTTGCATTTTGGCGCTTCTTACAATTAGTTGACAATCTGGCGTGCACTTTATAAGTCACATCTGGTTTGGCTGTTTAACGCGCTGCTTTGACATGCGACTCGAGCGACGCGCTGTCAATAACGGTATTAATTGGTTGTTTGCGTACGAAAATTAAAGATAGTGCAAAATGCAAATACTTAAAAAAAAAAATAAAAATAAAGTTATAACTGCAGCATTGTAGTGTGTCAAAGTGTTTTATATACACCATTTTCCAATTCAGTCCAATTAAATGTGAATTTATAAAGATTGTGAGGGGATAAGCGGTCCATTGAGCGCATGAGATTACCCTTCTTTTATGCAAATACATTGTAATGATGAACTTGAACTATCGTTTTTGTGATTATATGCATTTCAGAAATTCTTGCTGTCATTTTAATGAGCGCTCGCTGTGCTTCAATTGATATCCAACTGAAATTTTATAAGTAAACGGATTTTTTATGTCAATGTTAAAATAATACAAATTAACATAAATTGTAAACCATGCATTAGTAAAAAAATTAATAATAAACGGCGTAACAACCATTGCCCTTTAATATGATCTGATGCTATTTCAGTTTAATGTCCCGCTAATATCGAAGTAAGTTCTGACTACTACTGCTTGACTAAACAGTTGCATTTTTAGAAAATTTCGTTGAAGAATTCATCAGGGTATATTAAGTTTAAAACGAAATTTGTAACACTCAGAAATAATGAGCCTGACGAGCCGATTCGATTTAGCCATGTTCGTCTGTCTGACTGGCTGTCTAAATACGCAATCTGAAATTTTGCACATGTTCTTTGCTCCCAAATAGACTGCTCATTTGTCGAAATCGGACTACTATAGCATATAGCTTCCATATATATTGGCCGATCCAATTTAGGTTCTAGGAAAGAAAACTTTTTATTTGACAAAATATCTTCAAGCAATTTAGAATTGATTATTGTCCAAGACAGCGGTACAATCCCCGAACAAATTGTTCATATGGGACTACTATAGCATACTGCCATACAAACTAATTGCTCAAAATCAAACCCTAGTATGAAAACTTTATTTATTTGCAAAGGGTATTAGAGCTTCTGTATTTCCGAAGCTATCGTTTTTTCTGTTTTTTTTTTTCTTTAAATAATGCGCCATTCCACCCAATTTATCCAATATCTGACTGCCTCTCTTAAGAAACTTTTGTGTTAACTCACCCTGGTTTAAAGTCCTGAAGATATTTCTCTAACATCTAATGGATATAAGTAAGCCAAAAATATCAATCAAATAAAAACGTTCATCAAATTTAATGAGGACTTGAATTATGAATTATTAATTATGTTCGTCATAAACCAAAATTTCTATTAAGCTTAGTTTTATAAACAAAGTTCCCTCGCTCCATTCTTGACGTCATAAACTAATAGAATTTTCTGTCAAGTTCATTTTCTAAAAATTAACGAGATGAAACTTTCTTAACCTCCATTTTCATATTTCATTCCATTGTCTGGCTTAATATTGTTCTTAGTGGGGTAAATTTTTGTGTAACTATGTTTCAATTTATCGTGGAATTAGGTATGGAAGTTATCAATAAAATAATAAACGAACTTTCCTAAATCGAGAAATCAAATTGACGAAGATTTTTTGGTTCCAGTGCAGTTACATATATTAATAAATTCGGCATAGGAATTACCATGTACCGGATTTTGAATATCTTCTTTGCCGTATTATTGTTCCGAACTTCGAATATTTCAACAGGTAAGTAAGTACAGTAGTAAGATACTCGATTTGAGATTAATATTGAAACCTTTATTATACCCTGAACAGGGTCTATTAAGTTTGCCACGAAATTTGTAACACCCAGAAGGGGTCGTCGGAGACCCTATAAAATATATACATAAATGAACAGCATGATGAGCTGAGTTGATTTAGCCATGTCTGGAATCAAATACTTGTATGTACACGAGTTATTGTTTAAGGCAACAATATATTCTCCGCAGAAATTGTTCAGATCAGATCACTATATCATAAAGCTAGTAAGGAGCCTTTGTATTTGTGAAGGCTATTATAGCTTCGGTGCAATCGAATTTAACGTTTTTCTTGTTTTTTTTATTAATAATAAAACATTCCGTTACAAGATCAGAACAGTGACAATCATTTTACCGGCAATTTGACAGTCACAGTTGCAACGCTCAGTGCATAGAACAATTCTATCTATTATTTTCTTAAATGCAGTGTGCACATCGGTATTTGAAATTGATTGGCTATACTTATATACCTCTCGCTTTCATGCCTTTCGCTAGGACATTGCTGACCATAAATTCATCATAGCTGAAAATGTCAGTTATGTCTCTAAACATAACATAGCTGAAAATTGTCTACAATGACCAGAGTAGATAATATATGTAATTTTAATATCTTGAATAACACTTTTTTGATATATTCATGCATATGTATATAAACAACTAAAAACAATACATATAAAATTATAAAAACAAACTTTGAAACGATTAATTAATAAATTCCAACCCAAGCATTTTTGGTTCTATGGTGTCTCCGCTCAAAAATTAAGCCTTCATTTCACGAATTCACATCAAATCGAACATTCGGCTTGTCTATACAAATTGTGGTAGCTTCTTAAGCAAATATGACAAATTCGTTTCATCTAACTTAGTTTGAAGGATTCAACTAATTTGCTCTTTGTGCGCATTGACTTCCATTGCTGATAAGACAATAACACACAATACTAATTTTTGCATTGCGGTTTGTAAAAGTAAATAGTTTTAATTGACTTTAACTACACAATAGTAATGCAATGCGAAACTGAAGAATTCTTCATATAGAATTTTCGGACGAAGACGTATGTGGAATTAGTAGGCAAAAAAAACGATTCTTTATTCCAATTTTATATTTACCATAAATTTTTCGATTCTATCTTTTTAGACATGTGATTTTCAAGAAGAAATAAAACGCATATGATTTAATGTTATGAGTAAGAATTTAACTTTATTATAAAAATAAGGGTTTCATTATGTTTTAAAAATGATTTCGAGCAAATGACCGCCGCAGGTGTCTCGAAAAAATCCAGCCCAATTTTCGACCACTTTTTGCAGCAGTTGTGGCGGGGTTTTGGTAATAACACGCCAAATATTCTCTTTCCAGTCGTCGATCGTCTCGGTCTTATCTGCGTTATCGGCTCCGCATAACCCCACAAATAATTGTCCAGCGGTGTTAAATCGCACCTTCTTGGAGGTGCAATAAATTTGCACGACTTGCAAGCGTTGTTCCGGATTACGTCTGTTCATTATGAAATGGCAAGCCACACTGAGTATAAATCAAGTAACAGCTGTCAAAAACTCCGAAAAAAAAATAGTATCTCATTGAGAACCACAAGTCTAAAAAGAACACCCTATATTAAATGCATGATAAAATAAAGTTTCTAAAAGTGTTGGATATAGTTTTAATATGTCAAAATTGCTAAAATCTTCTTACATAGTAAACTATAAAGAATACAAAACATCTCTCAATTCAATGAGCGTATTAGTTAACAAAACGATCCAACACCTCAAAACATGAGTTCCAGTGTGCTCTTACTTCTTCTACAAGTATATATATAAAAATGTTTGTATGTATGTCCATTATAGAATCGTAAACCATATATCTAGCAAAGTTGTTGTGCATGAGCCAAAGAAGAATTCTGAGTTGGTACGACCAATTTTCGTGAGATGGCGCTACTGCCCTTTTAAATGAGAATTGTGAAATTCATGTCCGGTTTACAATGAATAGGCAATGGCTATTTTTTTTCTGCATCCAGCTCAATCCATTTTGGGTGTTAGCGTCACAGTCTGACAGCACCGCACTCATTTTATTTTACCCTGAATAGTTTGTTTGCTACGACCTTTATTTTCTCTAGATTCTAGATCGACTTTGGAAATTGAAGGTCGATTCCAAAAAGCCGACTATTTTACGAGAAAACTAAATTTTCGAATCGGAATCGAGTTTACCAACCCTTAAAAGGAGAGTTAATTGCAAAAAAAAATGTATCGGTTCACTTCATCGGCTGTTGGCTGTCAACCCAACCGTTACTATATTAAGAATCAAAACAAGAAATAAATCGCAACAAGTTTAGTCCCTAAAGATTATTATTGAAGATTCTTTTGAGATATGTTCATTTAACCATTTTGAGTGCGAGGCCGCGTCCTTTTTTAATTTAGCGCTTAGTTTACAGGTTTAATGGTGTTTTGTGGACGTGGCAGTAGTCTGATTATGCTCATCTGCAATACCGACCGCCCCTGGGGGCCAAGGAACATTTGTAGCAAGTTTCATCACGATATCTCAATTTTTGCTCAAGTTATCGCTTGCATGGACAAACAGACGGAAAGACAGTCACCCGAATTTCCACTCGTGTCCTCACGCTGAACATTTATATACTCATATATAAATCATCATCTACAAGTATCTCGATTATTTTAAGGTGATACAAACAACCGTTAGGTGAACATAACTATTACACTTTGTAGCAACATGTTGCGGGTGTATAAAAGCGCGTCAGTAAATTTATAGTATTATTAAGTGTTCAGTGTTAGTTTGGGGCGAAAATTATGGAAATTTGTCCCGTAATCCCGTGTACTATAAAATCGATTATCGTAAATATTAGCGCTTTGCTTCTTTGTTTTTAGCATAATTGTCAAACTCGGTAGTTACACATAGATCCCAAAAATTAAATGATTGCAATTCAAACTTACCGAAGTTTTAGTACGGTTGAATACCCCTAAAAGACTGCCAATATTCCTTATGTATTAAAATATTTCATATTTTGCTCCAAACATTACCTCATTATCAGGCATATAATTTTACATACCTATAGATATTGTGTCTAATACGTATTCCTTACAACTTGCATGTTCGTTGCGGTGTAGAACCCACAGGGGTATTGTTCCTCATCTCCAGTCAGGATACCACGTACCATCGTCCATTAGCAGCACGTCTACGCGATGACATTATTAACCAAGCCGAAAGCCAATTGCCCAATACAAACTACGTCATCACAGTTCATATGTTACATGAAATATTCAATTTTCCAAGCTATTGGGCGATAAAGAATGCAATACCCTTGGTGCGTTCCAAACTACTTGGTGAGCATGTCAAATGGGTGGTTTGGTTGGAGGAGAGTACACATGTCTTACTGCAAGCGCTTTTGGAACAGTTAGTGCTGGAGGATGCCACTCGGGTAAGTGAGGAGCTTAAGTAAATGAAATATGCGACATTTTTCCAGTGTTCTTTTATATAATATCTATTTATACAAGACAAGCCAAGCCACGCCTTGCTGCGGTGAAGGTACTTATAATTAAATTATAGTAAACTGTTCGATAGAGTAAAAATGTTATTTATGAATGAAAATTAAAACGTTATACACGGTATAGAAATCCACAGGATTAAAATTGTTTAAAAATTTGTAAATGATTTCTATATATTTTTTTTGAAGTGAACATAACATATTGATATTGTTTTATTTTAATAATTTTTTATTCAAGTTTGTAGCAAATGAGTAATTTTACATCGTTGTTAGTTGATGAGTAGGTAGGGGAGATTAATCTTTATACTCTTGCAACATGTTGCTACTAGTTTTGTTCACCTAACGGTTGGTTGCACCTTTTAAAAGTAATCGAGTTGAATATAGAGTTATATGGTATACCACATATGGCTTATTTCATCCCAAATTTACATTCAAAATTTTTTTATGCAAAACATTTTTTTTGTTTTTGCATTCTTTGAAACAAAATATTGGGCACGTATTTTTTATTTTGTCTCAATATAAAACATTGCGGAACTATGAGTTTTCAAAATTTCGACGCTCAAAATATAAAATAAATATTTTTTTTCAATTTGGAACTATTTTCATTCAGTTTTTTTATTGAGCAAAGTACAAAGTCCGGTTTTTTGTTACTCCACGGCGCTCAAAAGCACAGCGGATCAAATCATTGATAGTGTGGAATGGACCTACTAACCACCCTGGTAGGGTTTGAGGCATTTCTAAAACCTCTGCCATACTTTAAAGAGAAATGTACATTAGGCTCTTGAGTTACTATTTTATAAATTTGGAAGTGTACCGTTAAAAACTCCATCCGCAATAAATGTTTAATATTCAACATCTGGCTTTCGAGCGCGCGATTGTTCGTACTTTATCCTGCGAAGAATGTTTGATCCCGCAAAACCGAAAACCCGAGAGGCAAAGTTCGAAAGTTTGTCAATATCACAATTTTTTACGGTATGAAAATGGGTGAATTCGGATTATAACCCCGCCTACTTTCCATATAATGGTTCTACTGAAAACTACTACAAGTGTCTTAAATTTTTGGATTTCAATTACGACCATCTATGAACAAGTCCTCTGGATTCGACCAAGGAACACGTGTACAAAGTTTTATGACGGTCACGCGGAATTCAACTCGTCTGGTCATTCTAACCAATTATATATACATACATAACTCCATATCTATCTCAATTAGTTTTAGGTGATACAAATAACCGTCTGGTGAACAAAACTATTACTTGTATACTCTGTAGCAACATGTTGCAAGAGTGTAATAAAAATGTAAATATCCTCTTTTAAAAAGACACTTGTCAATTTATATAGCACATTGCGAAATATAATTTTTTTTTAATACTCATGTATGCAAAAGTATTTCTTAAACCAATAGTCGTGCCATAGTAGTCAAACAAATTTTATTACCTAGAGCTCCGGAATTTTCGACATGCGGTTTACTATTTCTGCTCTCAAAGTCTGTCAATTTGAAGCTGAATATTTAATTTTTTTTGAAGTCCTCACGTAAAAACTTTCGTGGAGATCTAAAAAGTCGCCTGTGAAAATCAGAGTCCTTAATATTAATATTAAGAGGTCGCACATCGCAGATTTGTATTTCCCATTTAAATAACACGGAAAAATGTTTTCTTAGATTTTGGAATTTTACAACTCTGAAACGGTTAAATGAAATGTTGAACCAAATTATATTCTTCTAGGAGATTTGACGCTCTACAAAAAAGTCTTTAGAAAATTTAAAAAAAAAAATTTTGTAAAAAGAGATGTGATTTAAGTTTGACCTCGAATCCGAAGTGGTTAAGATAATCAAAAATTGTCCAACCCTACCGTGATCTTCCAAACATTTTGTCTCACATATCAAAAAATCAGTTCTAAAGGAAAATTTAGCGCCTTTTAATTTGTCCCGACTTCGGATTTTTGTTCGAAACTTTGTATCAACAACGGCTTTTAATTCACTTTAAGACAATTACAAGTATGTTAACCTCTTATGGATTTTATATTAATTACTTTCAGTGCCTTTATTTGGGTCACGCGCTCTATGACGATCAAGCTAATATCAGGCATCACTTTGCTTTTCACAAAGATGCCGAATGGTTTCCATTTCCATTGCAACGAGCCGGCATTGTCTTTTCAAGAGCTTTAATCATGTAAGTAATAATCAGAACTCAGTTTCAAGAATTATTTAAGAAACTATGTTAATTTCTATTTCGATTTTGTTGATTTTATTTTAGTTGATTGTTTGTATAAATGTATTCGCACTTGAAAATGTGTTCTTGAAGTTAGAACTTTTAGCTAACGTAAGGCGCATATTATTCTATTATCTAAGCTAGCGCATTTACGTCCTTTTGCAAATCATATTTCTTTGACAGTTTTACATAATATTTTGGAGGAATTACGGCACTGATTCATTCCATTTATAGCTATCAAGTTCTACTTATGCAGCGTCTCTTTTGTCAATAAATTATTTGCAATTTTTGTAATAAAAGTGCTATTGTCAGAGGGCGTAATTGAGAGTTAAACGTAGAAATACAATGCGCATAGTAAATAACCAATTGAGCCAAAGTAGGATGACCACTGTATGCAATTAAGAACTTTAACTTATTTACTATTTTTATACTCTTGCAACATCCTGCTACAGAGTATACTAGTTACTAGCCACGCCCACAAAAGCCATAATTCGAAAGCCTATTAATTGCCATAACTAAGCCGCAAATTAAGATACAAAACCGTAATTTGGTCCAACAAATCGTAATAATGAGTGTCATCTGTGGTTTCATTTTTTTTTAAGTGGGCGTGGTATCGCCCTCTAATAGGTTTAATGTGTCTCCTAAACTATTCAAGCTATATTACCCTAATTTACTCGACCGATATCAACCATATTCAGTGTGTAATATTACTATGATATTCCTACGCCTACTTCCCATATATGTACACTGCCTGTTACATACTACCCCTAATTCTGTTGTCACAATGCCTTTTTTACACGGTTTCACACCGTATAAAAATAAAAATTTGCAGATTTAATTTTTGAGAAGTATGTTTATATCATTCACAAATAAAGAGGAATTCCCTTTTTGTGGATACAAGCAAGTTTACTGGTCAGAGCAATTGCAAATTGCATAAATTTACAAACAACAACTCATAACATAGTTCACTGTTAAAAATGTAGATGCCGAACGAGCAAGAGAAAGTTCAGTTCAAAATTATTCCTGCGATGATAGTGATTTTATACGCATTCGAAGCAAGCGAATGCGAGTAACTCACGATGACAGCAATTAAATTTATGTTCCTGTATTTATGAATATCATTTTATTTTTATACTCTTGCAACATGTTTGAAATTCGAACGGACCTCCGTCCGTCCATCTGTGCAAGCTGTAACTTGAGTTAAAAGTGAGGTATCTGGATGAAATGTTTAATGTGTATATCTCCTACACCGCTAATGCTATAAAACCTAATTCACTTAGGACAAATACTCTCAGCGCCCTTACCGACACCTCTAGCGGAAAACCCATATCTCGGTACCTGCTCCACCGATTTCAACCAAATTCGGTATTTAACATTCCTATGTTACAGTGCGTAAATTGGCGAAATCGGATTACAACCACCCCTACTATACAATTTTAATTTCCATCTGATTCTCTCACTTTTTAGTATGCTAATAAAGCAAAAATGAATGTAACGGGATAAAACTTTGCACGAATAATGCCTATAAAGTATGCTTCCTAATGACCAAAAATTGTCCACATCGAACCAAAACTGTTCAAGCACCTAGGTACCGAATATGTGTGAGATATATTATTGAAATTCAGAGAGAAACCTATCGTGAAAATATTATGTATGTATGTTAAAAATGGATTTAATCGGGTCAATACTTCACTTAGCTCCCATATACCTAATATATGGTAAAGAGTTTTGAACTTCCATTGTGAGTTATCTCAATGAAAATTAGACTGTCTATTTTAATCATAACAATATATATTTGTGTCAAAAATGGATAAAACTGTACGAAAACTTGACCTTTTGCTTATTCTAACAAGTTTTATGCCGAATACCATATGTCGGTCAGTGAGTATTATATATATATATTGCTTCAAAATATGTTCTCGAGTATACCTGAGCAATGTCAAAATTAATGCAATCAGCCCGTCCCTTTCTCTATCGCCAATACGTCCCGTAAAATGATTTCGTCTTTGCACCTGTCTTTTAACCATTTAGGTTGGTCAAAATGTGAGATATTTTAATAAAAGTGGACAAGTTTTCTTAAAAATTATGTGGTTTAGCACAGAATTACAATGGAATTGGTCTATATCTTGGTCTAAACCTCTATCCCTAATATAATGAATTCCGGTGCTTTGGTTGACGTTTTCTATATAATGTCAATATATTAAATTAGCGAATTAATATCACTTATTTTATCGACTAATGAGTCCGGACCATCTTAGGTCTAAAAATTTTCACAGTTGGACCATAACTATTCAAGCCCCGGATACCGAAAATGTCGAACCCAAAGGCTATGGTTGACTTTTTGCCGAAATTATCGGTCAATCTTTCAGATATATTATTTAATTGAAATTGAGAGAAAATAGTTTTTTGATAATAATATATCCTTGTGTCCAAAATGGGTTGAATCGGATTAATACATCACTTAGCCCCCACATACCTAATGAAACGATTTTCGAACTTCCAGTTGACTTTATACAACATATATATAATATATATATATATTATACTTAAACAAAATAGACTGAACATATATTATTGGATATACTATAGTTCAATGTCGAAAATATGTGAAGTTCGTTCGTAAATTACCCAAACTACCACATGCACCTGAAGGTATTTCCCTGTCTTTGATCCTGGTAAGTTGCAAGATTTTAGCTCTTTCTTACTTGTTTTAGTAAGAATGTATCAAAATGTTTAATCGACTACACAGATATTGATTAAAATACAATAGTATGATGACACTGAAATTTGTGCTGTGCTGTTTGTTAATTGTTACTCGCGAAAAGTTTCTTTGATTGAATAAAAACATGTTTATTCAATTAAAGAAGTTTTGTTATTTCAAACAACTTTTTATCTGTCAAATAATGTCGTTGTATTCGTAATGCACTCTTGATTGTAACACTAAAAATAGCAATAATTAATATGTAAACACACAAAACTCTACTTTTCTTCTAACCACCCAAACTAGCAAGACCGCAGAGGCTATAGAAACCGCAACTATTTATAGTTCACCTTTCATTATTGATATGGAACACGAACTGGCGCTATTCATTTATAACGAAGTAAAATCAAATGCTTTTGAAGCTCAGCTCAGCGCAAAAGAGCTCAACGGTACGACGAAGTCAAATAATATACAAAAGGTGCTGATGCGTAAAGTGCACTACATTTGCTCGCGATCGGACGAGTATGGCAATACAGACAACAAGTGTGCAATGTATGCAAAGCCAATGGAAACAAACTACTATGTGAGTAAATTCCACCGAAAAGGTTTGTAGAAAATACTATACTTTCGATTGGGTCACCCCTCCGATTTACTGCAAAACTTACAAAGTGGTTCTATAGGCCATTAGAAAAAAGGCCACATGTACATAAGTATATGTCTTTTTGACAGAAATTAAAAAAAAGGTAGACAAAAATTATTTAATTCATTTTTCATAATTTTTTTTAACACCAAAACAATAATAATTAAGCTGTTACTTAACTGTTAAAAAGAAGAGCGTATGGGTCTTTTGTCGCCTAAATTAAAAGAAGTTGTAAAAAAAAGTTGGACAAAAAAACTTTTTTAACAATATATTTTATAAGAACACTGAAACAATAATAAAAAATTGGTATTAATTGACAACATTATAGCACAAACTTAACTGACATAATAACATTTAAACAGGATAATATTATTTACAATTTATCCTTATTTTTCGAATATAATAATTAATGTCAGTACTAAATGTATTGAATAGATCTTTGCCGGATTTATAACCATATTCTCCTAATTCATTATGTATAAGAATCAAGATGAATTTCTGCAGCATCAGCAACATGTTTCTTCATTAAAGTTTGTAATTTACTTCATTGATTGTAAACCAACTTCAAACCATATTTTGCGTCTCCTATTTAAATCATTGAAAATGCAATACTTTAATATTAAAATACTATATTATGTGTAGTAAAAAGAAATCCATTATTTTTGCATGAAATTTACTGCTTAAATTATTACTTTTCGTATCCAGTCTTATTCCAATGGTTCCAAACGGTTTTTTGTGCAACGTTTAGGTCCTGGACAATCGTAATTGATGTTTGAACTCGGCAATTTCCATTATTTGATCGATTTTTTCGATAATTGGTCTTCTAGAGCGTGGTGCATCTTTGACATCGAAATTACCGGAACGGACTCGACGAAACAAAAATTGCGCATGATTGGCTGTTACAATATCAGGACCATAAACACTATTCACATTTTCAGCCGCTTGGCTTGCGTTTTTGCCCTTATCGAAGAAAAACTGTAAAATATAACTGTTTTCTCTTTGCTTGTGTCTATCTTTGACACGCGCTCAAACAAAACTGAATCTATCAATCACAAAACTGTCAGCTTTGTAGTACGAAATGTCATCTTTCTAACGCCAGCTAGCCGAACCCGATCGGACTTATACAACGCGAGATACAGATAAATAACGCCATCTATTGGAAAAATATGCATTTCTTTGTACTACACCTAATACTATTACAAGCTCACTAAGGATATCCCGGTGTTGGATCGAGCGGGGTTATTTGTTTGTAAATTAAAAAAAAAATTTTATTTTAAATAGAAAAAGACGGATTAAATTTTTTATTTTTTTTGCTAATCATTTAAAATTTGTTTTATTTTATTCATTGAAAATTTTCGTAAAATGTTGTTAAAAGTTTTTTTTATCAAAATTTTAACTTTTTTTATACAAAAATTTCGCCAAATGGAAAATAATTTTTTTTACATGCGGAAGCGGAGTGGTGACCTAATGGAAAATGTAGCCATAGAAAAAGTTAGTAACATGAAATAAATTCCTATCCTGATACACTTCAAATATACCGTCATAAATCGTACAAGAAATTTGAAAACATTTTTCCAAATACATTTGAGAAATTTTTTGAAAAAAGGGGCATTAGTTTCTGCTGTAGCAATATAAAGAATGTTACAACGTAGATCTTTATAGAGTTTCGTGCACTTATGGTATATTGTTATAAGGTGTGATTTCCTTTTAAATCAGTAAATCCAGAAAAAATTATATTTGAAATTAAAAGTTTTTGTATAACATCAAGATAATTCGAGTCGGTAGGATTTGCCATGATTAGCAATTTTTCTTTGAAAGTCAACATCCAAAACATGACATTATCAAAATCTGTATATATCTGTAATCTATATAATGCATATTCGAAACAGTGATACGCACAATAAGTCAGTACTTACGCCTTAGTCCAAAGAGAAACTCAATATATGAGGAGATGAATTTGAGGTTGGTCTTTCCGGTCTTTGAATTCCCATAAAAACGTTTCCAAATTTCATTGATGTTAGAGTGATGCTGAAGTCCGAGTTGACTTTCAACTAACGCAATTACTATACGATTGACTTAGGAGATTACTCTAATTCTACTGCTCCTATTTCACTTATTACCTATACTTTCTTTACATATTTATTTTTTGGTTTTCTCTATATTTACACAATTACATCTTCTAGAACGCTCTGAGGCCGCACAATATTTTCTTTGCTGTCAAAACATGTAAACGCTTTCATTTCGATCGAATACCGATTATTAAAGCAACCTGGGCTCCAATGGCATCACATATTCGTTATTATAGCGATGTAGCAGGTGAATCCAAAGAAATTCATATTAGTAAAAAACAAAAACGACAACTGTGCATAAGTGTTTCTTCTTCTTATCGTTAGATTCACAAATTCCGACAACACCTACCGATGTACCCAACACTGAAATCGGTCATTGCAATAAGACACTGACAATATTGAAATTAGCTTTACGAGAGATTGATGCCCACAATAGAGAATTGGGAAATTCGGTGCATGAGCAAGATGAAAACACTCATATTCATTGGCTCGTTTTAGCCGATGATGATACGTTACTAAGGTTTGTACAAGTATAATACTTCTACCTCAACAATTTTTATTGAAAAATTTAGCATTCCAAATCTATGCGCATTGCTCGGATGTTTCAATCACACAGACGATATTTATCTGGGCGAACGATACGGGTTCCATCACAACATAAAAAACGGCTTCAATTACATAACCAGCGGTGGTGGTGTTGCTATGAGTTTGCCCGCTGTACGTAAATTACTTGCGCATTGCCACTGCACACATTCGCAAGATGCCGATGATATGTTGCTGGGCATGTGCTTCACTAATCTAGATGTGCCAATCATACACTCGCAGCAGTTTCATCAGGTTTGTTATCTAAAGCAAAAAATATGGGTTTACATGCAAATCTGTACGAAATTTGTAAACTCTTTTTTAAAAACATTTTCCCAATATTTTTTAGCTCCGGCCACAGGACTATCCAAGCGAATTGTTGGCTCTTGATCCACCTATCTCTTTTCATAAATTTTACGATTTAGATCCGATCTCCGTATATAATAATTACTTTGCCAATGCTGATCAACAGATGCTGACTACAAAGCACCTAAGTTATACAAATAAAAAATAATATCTTATTTGAAATAATCAAAATAAAAACTTGAGAAATATTAAAAACATATACTAATGTTTATATTATTTAATAGTAACTATCTTTAATTTTAAACAAGTCGACAAATAACATAATATTCTAGATTTTATTTAGCTCTTAGCGAGTTCATAAAGAATTAATACCACGATGAACATAAATTACAAATGGTAAGTATCTTGGGAAAGGTAAGTATCTTGGGAAAGAAAGTTCAGAGTTAATATTTACAAATTTTAGAAGCTTTCCGAAAGCTCCAAAAGGTTCATTGACAATAGAACGACCGCTATTAGAAAATCCCAATGAGAATCGAGCATTATTTTAAGGTGAGAACAAGAATAGTAGATGGGAGATAAAATCCGCCGAATACGCAGTTTGCAGAAGAAATTCTAAACTCGATTTATAAAATGTCGCCATTGTTTTCATTGACTTGTTGTACAGTGCATTGTCATGATTAAATATAACTCTATTCTTTTTCAAAGAGTGCGATTTTCCCAATTTCGTCGAGATAGTCGATGTCTTACTGTTGTATCTCTCTTTACTTTGTATTCGGTTTACCGCGTATTCGGATGATGGTCGTTTGAATTCCAAAGTAGAGTGATAAGGTAATGTTTCATCTATCGTTACGTATCGATTTACCCATTCGGGCTTAGTACTATTATACAGCTATTTCCATTTTAAACAAAAACAAGAAAAAACGGTAACTAAGGTTGCACCGAAGCTATAATACTCTTCACAAATCCAAAGGCTTCCTTGCAAGAATTTTTTATGACAAATAAACAGCTTGAGGAGAAAAGAACGTGTGCAAAATTTCAGATGGATATCTTAAAAACTGAGGGACTTATTCGCTTATATACAGACAGACAGGCATAACTAATCGACTCGGCTCGTCAGACTGATAAGTTAACCGAAAACAATGGAAGTCAAATTACACAGTCTGCATTGTCTGCCTAAAATCCGTTGGATTCGCTGACTCAACACACTCCCAGCGACTACGGCAGGTAGCTACAGAGAGAAGAGCGACAGTAGCGTAGGTTAGTAAGTGAAATGTAAGTTTAGTTCTAATCAGACTAAATAAAGCACAAAAGTGCACTACACAGAATTTATACACCCCTTCTGGGTGTCACAAACTTCGTAGCAAAACCTGTTCAGGGTATAATACTTAAAATACTACTTTGAGACCAAGATGAGGACGATTGAACGAAATTCATGAAACTTTAACAGTATTCTATTTCATTGTGGATATTTTTATCGTATGAGCTACTACCATCCAAAAACATTTTGTAAATTCTCTCAGAGAGAAATAAAAGCTGCACATATTTATATGACCACGCTGTGTGGGTTGAGTAGGAAGTGAATCTTAGTAAATGTTCGAAAAATAGGGGCGTCGTACTGATGTGCGAAGAACTGAAGATGATGGTAAATATAGAACACTCAAAGATTCAACAAAAATCATAGTAAAACTGACACAAAGTAATCTGAAATTTAAAATATCTCGCACTAAGGAAGTTCACTGTCCTTTGGAATGGAAAGAGCTTCAATACACGTTTTGTCCTTTCTTTAGTTAGATTTATTATACATATATAACTAGTATATACCAGAGGCAAATGGAAAAAAAAAATAATATGTGTAAGAAAATGTTGCACGTACATTAGAAAAAGAGCATACTGCAAATTTATTGTCCCCTTAGAAATGATTTCTGTTGTATCGATCTCAAATGCAGTAGTTTAAACTTGTATAGAATAGAATAGTTATTGAGGTATGCACTGCGACTTTTGGTCAATTGTGCCCTCCTTCACTTTTATAAAGACTGAAATAATCCCAGCACCATTGTATGGTAAATTCAAGGAACATGCTTTGTGCCAATGAGACAATGTGCTCTCTATTACGAGCTGAGCATTGAAGCTTCATTTTCTGTGTTAAAAATGCTTTTTTTGAATATTTAAAATTGAAAAAGAATTTGATACTCCTTACTCAAGAGTCTTGATAATGAAATTGAATTGTATATTAATGCAAATATCGCTATGAGCGATTAGCAATTATACAAGCGCAAGCGCAAGTTACATGTATTTGACAAGGAAACCTCCCCAACCCCCCAAAACCTTAAACTAATGAACCAAAATCTTGCATATATGTGTACATACGTTCATAACTTTTCGGTTACCGACCTTTTGTACAAGTAATATCTTCAATGTTGTCGTAATCGGACCATAACTTTTGAAGCCCCAGATTTGTAATATCATGATTTCGGTACCTAGAGTCTCGTTTATACCGCAAAAATCAATCAATGTATAAAATAATGGGTATACGTATTTTCGTGATAGTAATATGGCCTATTTCCAAAAGTTAATATAATCGGCGGAAAAAATTCAGTCATTGCTTTGATGGCTGTACATGTTTATTTAGAAAGAAAAAAGCTAAAAAACAAGAAAAAACGTTAACTTCGGTTGCACCGAAGCTATAATACACTTCACAAATACAAAGGCCCCTTACAAGAACTTGATTCCGAACGTTCAATTTGTATGGTAGCTATATGATATAGTAACCTGATCTATACAATTTCTGCGCAGAATAATTTTTTGCCTTAAGCGATAACTCGTTCCTAATTTCGTGAATATACCTCGTCAAATAAACAAATCTTCCATGCAAGCACTTTACCCCGATCGTTCAGTTTATATAGCAGCTATATACTATAGTCATCCGGTCTATACAATTTCTTTGGCGATTAGATTATTGCCTTAAATAATAATCCATGCCAAGTTTCCTGAAGATACCTCGTCAAATGAAAGAGTTTTCTATACAAGCTCTTCATTCCGTTTGTATGGCAGCTATATACTATAGTCATCCGATCTGAATAGTTTCTTCGGAGATTACATTGTTGCCTTAAATAATAATCCGTGCCAAATTTCGTGAAGATACCTCGTCAAATGAAAGAGTTTCCCATTCAATCACTTCATTCCGATTGTTCAGTTTGTATGGAAGCTATATTCTATAGTCATCCGATCTATACAATTTCTTCGGAGATTGAATAAATGCCTTAAATAATAATATATGCCAAACTATGTGAAGATACCTCGTCAAATGAAAGAGTTTTCCATACAAACTCTTGATTCCGATTGTTCCTCCATATATTATATATTTACTTCATATAGGTATGTACATATATTAATGAAACTCAAACAGCATCTTTTTCTGTTAATAATATGTGGTATTCCCAAAGGATATAAAATTCGTTCAATACTACCCCTATCTTCCATGATGAAAATAGATATTGATTTGTTTGTAATCCATTCATGGTGACTCTCTCTCTGTTCAAATTCTCCTGAGTAAAAATTAAGACATCTTGATAAAGCTTGGAACACTTGTTCCATGTCACTATTAAAAGGTTGGTATTGCACTAATTGTTGTTAATCGAAAAACTATAAAGGACTGTAACTAAGCCACAAATTATGTATGTGTGTGTAAACTTTAATTTGGTACAAGGTTTTAAGTATGAAGTGACATCTGTGGCTTTAAAGTTAAATGTATGTACATACATATATCGCATGACTCACAAGCCACTAAGGATGCCAAGGCTGCGCTTAAGGTGGGCAAAGTTAAGATCGGGTGGTCTATCTGCCGCCTCCGGGAATATTCCCCTATTCCCCGTTGCTTTAGGTGTTTCCACGTGGGGCACATGGCGCGCAAATGCTGCAACCCCGTAGACAGGTCGTCCCTGTGCACACGTTGTGGCGCCGGCGGACATGTAGCAAAGACATGCACCAACGACCCAAGCTGCATGTTTTGCAAAGGTGCACACTCAGTATTGAGTACGACTTGCCCCAAGTATTTGGAGATGGTAAAGTCGGTAGGAAAATGAGGATACTACAGCTTAATTTAAACCACTGTGCTGCAGCACAAGATCTGCTTAAACAGACATTATTTGAGGAAAAAATTGATGTCGCCTTACTAAGCCAGCAATACTTCCAGCGTTCGGAAAGCACCTGGATCACAGACAAATCTGGCAAGGCTGCAATATGGTCATGTAAAGGCCAGCCTTTTATATCCTGCTCCAAAAACAATAATTGTTTCACATGGGCAAATATACGTGGCATATACTTTTTTAGCTGCTATGCTCCTCCCAGCTCCTCAATAATAGATTTTGAAAACTTCCTACTGGAGCTTGCTCTAGAAACCAGAGGGAAATCGCCAGTCATAATCGCGGGCGACTTTAATGTCTTTAATGTCAACTGCCTGGGGTAGCAGACGCACAAGCCATCGTGGACGTCTGTTACTAGAATTCCTAGGTCAGACGAATCTTACCATAACCAATAGCGGAACTCAAAATACCTTTCAAAAAGGAAACAAAGGCTCCATAATCGATCTTATGTTTGCAAACGACGCTCTAAGTAGGCACATAAAGTGGACGGTGTCGGATATATTTACAAATAGTGACCACATGGCTATTATTGCTGATGTTTCGTTTTCCGGAGAGACGGAACCCCGCAGCAAAAGCACTTGCCAAAAACGTAGCTGGAAACAAAAAGAGTTTGATGCCGACCTTTTTGGGATAGTTTGGGGCTCAGCAGATGGACAAGGTGAGGAAGCCACCCACTTGGTATCCGCAGTGCGGAAAGAACTGGTCACAGCATGCGATGCAACTATACGTAGAATAGTACACCACAACAAACGAAAGCCAGCCTATTGGTGGAATGAAGAAATAGCTACGCTCAGAAAACTCTGTAATGCAGCTAGACGCCGTCTGCAACGTAATCAATGTGGGGAAAATGCAAACAGCCTCAGAGAAATGTTTAAAACACAAAAGAAGCTTCTAAAGTCAGCCATTGCCCGCAGCAAAAGGGACCATTTTGAAAAGCTCTGTGAGGAAGCAAATGTAGACCCTTGGGGTACGGCGTACAAAATATGCATGTCAAAGTTCAAAAACAAGACACAGCAACCCAAAAGCGCATCTTTTATGAAGAATATTGTAGAAACATTATTCCCAAAACACCATCTAATTTCCTATGCTACACTACGAACAGAAGTGATAGAGCCACCGCTACTAGTTAGTGAGGATGATATAGTGGCCATAGCGGGAAAAATTAAAAGCAGCAAAGCGCCTGGTATAGATGATATACCAAACTGGGCCTTAAAAGAAGCCATGAATTTAAAACCACATGTATTCGCAAAAATGTACAATGCGTGCTTAATGGAAGGTATATTCCCCGACCCATGGAAAGTACAGCGTTTGGTTCTACTTCCCAAACCAAATCAGCCTCCGGAGGAAGCCTCGTCATATCGACCTCTGTGCATGCTTGACACGATTGGCAAAGTGTACGAAAGCATAGTAAGAAACCGCTTGGAGATAGCAATCCAGAAAGCCGGCGGCTTATCAGAAAGACAATACGGCTTTATGAAAAAGAGGTCCACTATTGACGCATTAAACAATGTCGTTGACACTGCGAAATGCGCAGTAAGTGGAAAAAGGTGGAGAGGCGGAACTAAAAAATATTGCGCGCTGATCACCCTGGATGTGAAGAATGCCTTCAACTCGGCAAAATGGGCAAACATAATCAAGGCTCTATATGAAATACACGCTCCTCAATATCTTATAAACATTATTATAAGTTATTTTGAAAACAGACGACTAATATTCGACACCGATGAAGGCACCAAGAGCTACCCTATTTCGAGTGGGGTACCGCAGGGCTCGGTTTTAGGCCCCATTCTATGGAACGTGATGTATGATGGGGTGCTAAGAATAAACCAACCAGAAGCCGTTAAATTAGTCGCATACGCTGATGATCTTATAGTGGTAGCAGTGTCTAAACATAAACAGTCTGCGGCAATGGTTTTCCTCAAGGAGCCTATTACTGGCTGAGCACAAGACAGAAGTTCTCCTAATAAGTACGAGGAAAGTGGAGGAAAGGATATCTCTCACCATAGGGGAGTGTGAGATACAATCACAGCCACAACTAAAGTACCTGGGAGTAATAATAGACTCAAAGCTTAAATTTAAGGAGCACCTAGAATACACCTCGAGTAAAGCATATAAAATCCTCAACGCCCTATCAAGAATGATGCAAATAAGGGCTGCGTGCGTTCCAGCCGGCGAATTTTACTCGCAAAGGTAATAAGATCGGTTATATTATATGCGGTTCGCAATATGGATCCAGGCGTTTAACATTAAAGCATATACCAAACAATTAAACACAGTGCACCGGCTGTCGGCACTAAGAATAATCAGTGCTTTCCGAACAATATCCAGCGAGGCTGCTGAAGTAATAGCCAGTATGATGCCCATTGACATCCAGGGTGAAGAATTCGCGCGACTATACAAGTTGTCAGCAGAGACAACTAAAGAATCCAAAAAAGAAGAGAGGAACAAAAGCATGACAATGTGGCAGCAACGGTGGGAAACCTCACCCAAAGGACGGTGGACACACAGACTCATTCCGGACATCCGCTCGTGGATAGACAGACGACATGGGGACCTGGATTTCCATCTTACCCAAATACTAAGTGGACATGGGTGCTTTAGAAGCTACCTGTACAGATTCCATCGGGACACTAGTCCGAACTGTCCGGCGTGTACAGAGTGCTTAGAAGACTCTGAACGTGTATTATTTCACTGCCCTCGCTTTGTAAGCATAAGAGAAAAACTAAAAACTATACTTGGTGGTAGTTTTACGGTGGAAAATTTGACGACACTCATGTGTCAGTCCACTGAGAACTGGAACGCTGTCAGCGAAGCGGCAGCCTCAATCATGACAAAACTGAGACATATAGAACAGATAAGGCGTCCGTCAGTCCGTACAATAGAGGAGACTTAAATGTCTTATCACCCCCACGAAGCAATACTTAATCAGGTGGTTCCGTGGGAGGGATATGCGGTGGGAGTAGGTTAGGTTTAGCGGATTAAAGTCCCGCACTTCGGCTTTCGATGCTTCCCCCTACTTAAAAAAAAAAAAAAAAAAAAAAAAAAAACAAGCCACTAAAGTTAATTGAACCAAACTAGCTGACAACAAGTCTTTTTAACATAACTTAATATGTCAGAAGCATTGATATACTGCCAAGATGGCTAGGAAGAGTTTCATAGGAGCCCGTGTCAATAATATACACCCACTTTTAAATGAAATCCTATATCCTAGGAACTACTCGATCAATTTCAACCAAATTTGGAACATGACATTCTTATTCATTCTGAAAATGGACTAAATCAGACTACAACCCCGCTTACTTTCCATTTATCACAATTTCAAATTCCATCTAATGCTCTCACTTTACAGTATATATGTCAAGCACCAATGGCGTTATTGAAATAAAACTTTGCACAAATAGTGCCTTCAAGGGAATGCATTTCACATATAAAATTGTCGAAACCAGACCATAACTTTTCAAGCGCCCAAATATCAAATATATAAATTCCAGTGTCTTCGGGGGACTTGTTACCGAATATATCGGTCAATCTGTAAGATATATAATATTATTGAAATACGATTAAAACCTGAATCTCTGACACAGTGTGCTCTTGTGTCTAAAATGGGTAAAATATACTCATAGACCTTATATCAAGATTTGCGAATTTCTGATTGACTTGATAACGTATATATCGGTCAATAAGTAAATTATCTTATTGAAATTCAGAGAGCGTCTATTTCTAATAACAGTGTATCCTTGTGAATAAAATGGATGCAACTGCAATGGCCGTCAACTATTCGCAATTTTTTGCACGCTAATTGTTAACTAGGTCAGTGCTTCCTAACAATTGATTCTGTGCACCCAACTAAATGCAATTTTCAATAGTTTTCTGGGCTGCCAGTCTGTTTGAACATGTGGTATAATTCTTTACTCTCTAACGCTTGGTGAATCGAAGACAGCTTTAGATTGCTCGATTTCGCCTAAAATAGTTTCAAAGCGGAAATGACGTTGATATCAGAAATTTTAGAAGACGTATGTGATACTTCCGGGAACCCATATTTATGATCTTCAACATAGTTAAAATAGATAATAAACCAGATTTGGACCGTAATATTCAAATCTAAATATATTTTAAACATGATTGAAATGTGTGTTTCGTATGTTGGAACGTTCATTTGTGAGAAGATAAAATAAGTATATAGCTTATTATCCTAAAAGAAACACTGATATGCAAATATACATATGTACAATATACAAGTATATGGTAATAGTAGTGAAATCATTTATTTTGGTCAACACATTTTTACATTTATTTAGAGCAACATATGTGTGTATCTTGAGCCTTTTTTTAATCGCAAATATCCATTTCATTTATTATTGTATTTGAAAATCACCTTTTAGGCAAGGAGACAACCAGCATATTCAGGTCGATCACAGACTCCCTTCAATGGATTGAAATGAAGTTTAGCACAGCTGAGTTCGACGGCAACGCCATTGCGACAAACGTAGTAATCGTTGCAATTTCTCAACGAAGGTAACAAAAAGCCGTTCCTTTTATCTAAACAAATGTTCTCCAAATAGTTATCCATGTTCGACGTCATACCCTGTGGGGAGACTGAGTTTGGGCATGGTGTTGGTGCTAGGGTTGTTATACACAGCGAAGTAGTTGTTGTAAGTGGAGTAGTGGTTGTTGTTGTGAGCGTTCTCGTGCATATAGTAGTTGTTGTGGTGGTTGTCCTTGGAGTAGTGGCTGTTGTTGTACTGGGAATAGTAGTAGTTGTTGTCCTGGGTGTAGTGGTTGTTGTTGTCGTTGGAGTAGTGATAGCTTTTGTGCACGGTGTAGTTGTTGTAGTGGTTGTCCGTGGAGTAGTAGTTGTTGTTGGGCTTAGAGTAGTTAAAGTTGTTGTTGTTGTTGGAGTAGTGGTTGTTGTTATGATTGGAGTAGTAGTAGTTGTTGTCCTGGGTGTAGTGGTTGTTGTTGTGCTTGGAGTAATTATAATTGCAGTTGTTGTTGTCGTTGGAGTAGTGGTTGTTGTTGTGCTTAGAGTAATTATAATTGTAGTTGTTGTTGTCGTTGGAGTAGTGGTAGTTTTTGTGCACGTCGTAGTTGTTGTTGTGGTTGGAGTAGTGGTAGTTTTTGGGCACGTCGTAGTTGTTGTTGTGCTTGGAGTAGCTGTAGTGGTTGTTGTAATTGGAGTAGTTGTAGTTGTTGTCCTGGGTGTAGTAGTTATTGTTGTGCTTGGAGTAATTATAATTGCAGTTGTCGTTGGAGTAGTGGTAGTTGTTGTGCACGTTGTTGTTGTGGTGGTTGTGCGCAGATTATTGGTTGTCGTTGGGCTTGGAGTAGTTGTAGTTGTTATTGTCGTTGGAGTAGTGGTAATTATAGTCCTTGAAGTAGTTGTTGTTGTCGTTGGAGTAGTAGTGGTTGTTGTGGTGGTTGTCCTTGGAGTAGTGGTTGTTGTTGATGTGATTGGATTAGTAGTTGTTGTTGTCGTTGGAGTAGTGGTAGTTGTTGCGCACGTTGTTGTTGTTGTTGAGATTATGCTTGGAGTACTTGTTGTTATTGTTGGAGTAGTAGTAGTTGTGATGGTGGTTGTCCTTGGAGTAGTGGCTGTTGTTGTACTTGGAGGAGTTGTAGTTGTTGGAGGTATCGTTGTTGTTGTTATACACGGAGTTGTTTGGGCAACAGTCGTTGAGCATGGAGGCACTGTTGTGGTCTCACATGCTGTTAGATTCACTGATGCAGCATTGGTTATAGCCAATATGGCTACAAGCACACTCAAGAATTCTATTCTCACCAAAGCGAAATAGAAAATGTATTATGAATATTTCTAAAATGTTTATACATTTGCCTCTGACATCTACTTACCAAAAATTTTCACCATATTGAAATGAAATTCACAATAAAAAAGGCTACGGAATTAGTGCGACCAACTGCAGCTGCCACTTATATTTATAGTGTTTGAGATCGAGCTAGCCTTAGCACTGTGCAAACACTGGTGAAATTTTCACCATTTTATACGAATATGAAGTGCATGTTTTAATAGAACATATACCATATGTATACATACTGATACATGTGTTCACATTTTAGAGTAATTTGAAATTTCACTTTAGGAAATGTTTGCACTTACACGCTTTTTAAATGATGCTAATAACTACATATATATGTGTATCAAATTATTTACTCGTTGTACACTTCTTCGAACTTCCAATTATTATCTATAACAAAGTATCTTTATAATTATATATTTGTGTGTATGTGTGTGATCGGTACAAATCATTGAGAAATTTTGTTAGATCGGCAACAGTGCTGATACTTATGCTGATAAGCGGTGAAATGCAAACACACATATTTTTTTATGATTTTTCTATTGATGCTCATCATCGGTAAGCTTTAAATTTCCTTTTTCTCTCTTAAAATCGGAATTATTTTTACAAAATCTAAGGCGATTCGGTAGTTTAACCCTTTAAATGTTTCGGTAGATTGCAGATTGCAGGTTCGAGATATAGAACGCCAAGAAAACTCAAACAAGCTCTCCTATACAGAGTATCAGCATTGTAAAAGCTGACCCGATTTGAATAAATGTTATTAAATACACTCCAAGGTTACACCTGTTTGAAAATTACTTTTGTAAGGCAAAGAGAATTATAAAACAAAGAAATGTTATGAATAGAGGTGAGTCAGCCGGAAGTTCAAAAATTATTCTATTGGGTATATAAGGACTAAAGGAATTATTGATCCGATTCAACCCATTTTTGGCACACGGGCGTATTATTATTAGATAAGGATTTTCTCTGAGTTTATATAATATTATGTCACAAAGTGACTGATATTTTCGATAACAAGTTGGCAATAGGAACTGGGGTCTATATATTCCCAGGTACCGTGTTGGTATTATTAAAAAATGTACCGAAAGGGTTAAACTACATTAATCAAATTTAAAATCATATTAACTTATTTTTAAGGTCATAGTCTTCCTTAGTTTTATTAATATATTTTACTTCCAGTGAAATGAAAGGACTGACTCTGCATTAATTTTTGACATTGCTCAGGTACAGGTTGGTTGGTCTCACCAAAAAATAGCACTACTAGCTCCAAATTTTTTTTTCTCAAGTTGATACATCTGTCGTGAGAACACATGCAAAGTTACAAGTCATCTCTCGTGCCATCTCGGGTGTAAAATTTTATGTCTGTGAAGCATTTATTTATGAATTTATCGCACTTTCAGTAGTTTTTAACACTTAAAAAGTTTTGGTTCGATTTCCATAATTTTAAGTCATAAGATGGCACACTTTAAAGGCAGAATTCGTGGAAAGTTTTATCTCGTTATAATAATTGGTAATTTGTATACTGGAATGTGAAAGGATCAGATGGAATTTAAAATTTGGTTATATGTATATATATATTCTGTCTCTTTTTTAAAAGTCCTGTTTACTTTGGAACGCACCTCGTAGAAGTATATACGAATGTCAGTATAATACTACTTAACAAATTTGGTTGAAATCGGTCGCGCAGGCCTCGAGATATAGTAAATTTTGACAGCGGTTCCTATAAAGCATTCTCCTGTAATTGCGGGTGTAAAATTGTATGTTTATGATGCACTTATTAATTGATTTATCGCCCTTTCAGTAGTTTTAAACATAACCATTATATGGGAAGTGGGCGGGGTTATCATCCTAATTCACCTAGAAGGTAGGAGTGGTTAACAGATTTGTCCCGCGCGAAGTTGGTTATAACAGCTTTAATGGCTTAGAAGATATGTACAATAACCTCTTTCCGGGCGGGGTCACGCCCTTTTTTTTACTTTTCAGCTTTTTGATGAATACTGTGAAGAGGCAATGATATGGGGGTGCATAACTGTGTGGGCCAAACGGAATTTATAGGGTCCACCATGGTTAAATATGCATACTCGTACCTTAATATTTTAAAAATAAGTTTACAGCAAAGAGCGGTAGAATTTAGTCTTGGAATTTACTCCTATTTTCTACAGGATAACGATCCGAAGCATACAGCAGACATAGTTAAGCTTTAATTAATCTACAGCGTTCCTAAACAGCACCAAACACTACCAGAATCATCAGATTTTAATCTTAAATAGCGCCTATGAAATTCACTGGTACGTAAAACTCGACAATGCACAAATTCCTCAAAAGATATGCGAAAGAATGTGCTGCACGAGGAATGAGCTCACATACCTTCGAAAAAAACCTAGTAAATTTTAAGAAGAATTCGTAGGATTATTCGATTTATGTACCTTGTACGCAGACTTTTTGTAATGGATTTTCTATTCGTCCGTATGTTTTGTTTATATGTTACTGTCAAATAAATTAGTTTTTATAAAAAGTATATAAAGTTATTTTTCCAAAATTTATTTTTGTTGGTACCTTGTACGTACACTTTTTCTGCCCAATGTATACAGTTCCTTAATTTATTAGTAACTGTTATATCACTGTCATTTTATAAACTAAGTCCATGAAAACTAGACTCTAGTACAAGAATTTTCGTTCTACAAACAAGGTTTTAATGATTTTTTGCACAAAACCAATTCTTTAAAAGTTGTATGCAGTTAAATTTTTGCATTAAACTTGCGGCCCAGTAATTCAGTAACTGATCATTCATACAATTCCATGTCGTATGAGCAACACAAAAATTATAAGGCACTTGTATAATGATATAAAAAAAATCATTAAGATCTTTTTTGTAGAGCGAATAGATTTGTATTAGAATAAGTAAAAAGTAATATGGTTTTGACAGAGTTTAAATTGAAAATAAAGAGCTTGCTTACGTTTGATCTTTTTTTCAGAACAAAAACTGAAACTTCAGGGGCAGTTGCGAAAAAAAATCTCATTGCCTTGGAAGCCAAATCTTATTCTGACATACATAACATATGTAAAGAGCACTTACCGTATATTTAGTAACAGTAGTAATTTATCCTATAGATACACATATTTACATGGTATAGCTGTTAACAAATGTACGTACATACCTACAATGTACCATAAGTAGCTGCAAAACGATAACATGTCAATTATTAACAGGCAAACTATTTCTTTATATTCGATTTGTATGAGAGACCAACATGCATTCCTCTAAATTTTCTCTAAATATTTTTGCAATCTCTCAAATAAATCGAGCGGTCTTTAAAACGGTGGCAACGGCGCAATCGATTATCTTTATATAATATATAAAAAGCAGCATTTGTGCAATTTCAATATATTACATGCTTCCGATATACAAGTATATTGAAAAATCAAATAAGCTGAAAACCTTCAAAGTGGTATGATATTACCAGTAGACGTTAAGGCTTCGCTGAAAATATCACACACCAAATTTTGTACAAAATTCGATTAAGCAATTTATGATATATGAAAACTTTCCCAAAGTAGATTGTGTCATGTTCATTGTATAAAATTTAAGCAAAATGACATGTACGTCTGTTACAGGTTTCATTCTTCAATAAGACTTCATTATGAGTTTTCACTCACGGGCTTAATCTATCTAAATGAGACACGCTTCGACACTTCTATTTCAGCATCCTAAAAAACTACACTTACTAACAGATTTTTATTACTTATTCATATACATTATAGTACTAATAAGTGAAATATTTTGGAATGAATTTAGGAAATTATGATCATGTATATATATTCAAATTATCGGTTCTTTAACATTACAAAGTAAAGTTTTCTTTGAGATCATTTTGAAATAGAAAATTAATTTTAAATACACTGTAAACTTTCTGCACAATTAATGAAAGATGTTTAAATTTGTAATTGTTTCATGTGTTGCACTTTGGTATTTTTCAATTGTTCGATTGGTTATTGTACGCATCCATAACCCGTAACCAATTAATTTATTCAGTGCATTTTCATGTATATGTATGCACTATATATCTATATACATGTTCCTTTAATTTTCCACTTAGCGAGCACATTCCGAAGGATTATCTTATGTGCAATGCTTTTTTATTTACAATGAGCGCAGAGCTCGCCACAATAATTTTGGTGCTGTTAAATTGGATTTTAAATTCTTAAATGTATAAAATAAATGTTCGTTCTTTTCTATTCAACTTGTATGGATGTAATGTACGTAGTAATGAAATGTAATTCACACAAAATCCAGCGCAGTGGCTGGGACATCTGTTCAAGTGAGATCCATCGATTAGAATGTATTCTACGACTAAACTTAACCTAGTGAAAATATTCTCGCTTAATTCAATTGACACATCTTTCATTGACCTATGTAAGATATGCACTTGAACATATTGTGTATACTCGTATAGGGTAAAAGTAACTGGAGGGGCTGATACCTATATTTGTTTGGGGTTCAGACTATGGTCTAGACCGATTTCATTCATATTCCACGCTAAACTACATTATGTTTAAGAAATATGTCATTCATTTCATTTCCTTAAATTATCAAACTTTTTTACCAAATAAACTTTTTAAAGCCAAGTCGGAAAACACTATATCGGTTTAAAGGCACCTAGAAAATAGAAAATTACTATATCGGATATATTTCCTTAACTTTTGACATTACTCAATTGTATTATATTTGGGAACACAGGGCATTTTATGAAGATAACTCTTGATAACATTATACATACATATGTAGTATATGGCAGCTGGTATTCCGATTCCGATTTCACACAATTTCGGCATTAAACAATAGTATATACAATGTCTTACATATTGGCCGATATATACGGTATAAAGCCAACTGGAAGTTTGAAATCCAGATATTAGGTATATGGGTCTAAGGATAGTGTGGACCCGATTTAATTTAATTTTGTTACTACGACTAAGATATCTCACAGATTAACTAATATATACGGTATAAAGTCAATTAAAAATTTGAAAATCTTTACGTTCGGTATATGGGGAATAGGAGAAGCATTGACCGGATGTCATTTTTGACAAAAAAACATTTCTTATATTTTCTGTAAAAAGTCAGCCATAAGCACTAAGGTCTACATATGATCACA